CTTAAATGTCTTGTAGAATTCTGCTGGAAGGCCATCTGGTCCAGGGCTTTTTTTTGTAGGTAGTTTTCTTATTATGTAGTCAATTTCCTTGATTGTTATTGGTGTATTTAGGATCTCAATTTCTTCTTTTTTCAACCTCGGCAGGTTGTGTGATGTCAGAAAGTCTTTCATTTCTTTAAGGTTTTCAAGTTTGTTTCCATACAAGTGTACATAGTAGTCTCTAATGATCTTTTGCATTTCTTCAGGATCAGATATGACTTCATCTTTTGTGTTTCTGATTGTGTTTATTTGGGCTTTTTCTCTCTTTTTCTTGGTCATGCTAGCTAAGGGACCATTGATCTTGTTTATCCTTTTGAAGAACTAGCTTTTTGTTTCATTGATTTTTTTTAATTATCTTTTTGTCTTCTATGTCCTGGATTTGGGCATTTATTTTGGTGATCTGAATTCTTCTGCTGAAATTAGGGTTTTTGTGATCTTGCTTTTCCAGCTTTTTTAGGTGGCTTTTAGGCTGTTAATTTGTGATCCTTCCATTTTCTTCATGTGTGTTTGTAGGGATATAAATTCCCCTCCTACTATAGCTTTCATTGCATCCCAGAGATTTTGGTAAGATGTTTCTTCATTTTCATTTGTTTCCAGGTATCTTTTAATCTCTGTTTTGATTTCATCATTGACCCAGGAGTTGTTTAGCATCATGCTGTTTAGTGTCCATGTCTTTGTGGGTTTGGGGGGGACCTTGTTAGTGTTATTTTATTTTATTTTTTTCATTGGAAAACAACCTTTATTGAGATTCCACCAGCTGCACAGTCTGTTCGTTGCATTAAGCTCCTTCTTCCTTTGCAATTCGGTCTTTCTTGAGTGGTCCCATGAATGTTTTCTTCTCCTCCATGGTCTGGAAGCGACCATGGCCAAACTTGGAGGTGGTATCAATGAACTTAAGATCAATCTTCTCCAGAGCATGCCATTTGGTCTGTACCAGCAAGGACTTGTGCAGGGTGAGCACTTGCTTCTTGGTCCCCACCACGCAGCCATTCAGCATGACAAAGTCATTGGTCACTTCACCATAGTGGACAAAGCCACCCAGAGGGTTGACACTCTTGTCAGACAAGTCATAGTCAGTGGAAGTGTTGTTCTTGATCAACTTGCCATCCTTGATAAAGTAGCCCTGGCCGATCTTATAGATCTTCTTGTTGATCTCAGTGCGGTGATGGTAGCCTTTCTGCCCAGCCCGTGCCACAGAGAAGGCCACATGGGCAGGATACCATGCTCCAATGCAGACAACCTTGCGCAGCCCTCGGTGAGTCTTGCAGGGCAACTTCTTGGTGTGCCAACGACTGGTGACCCCTTTGTAGCCTTTGCCCTTCGTCACCCCGATGACATCAATCATCTCATCCTACTCAAACACTTGATTCACAGGGACCTTCTGCTCCAGCCTCTCCTGAGCCCAATTCAGTTTCTTGGCCACCGTGCCTCTGTTCACCTGGATCTCCATCAGGTGGGGCTTTTTCTGGCGCAGGGGAAGCAGGAGCATCTGGGTGTGCGCAATGATACGGATGACCTGGCAGTACTTTTTCATGCTGCTGAAGTCCTTCTCTAGCTGCTTCTTGCCATCCTTATCCTGCCATTTCTTGCAGTACTTGGTGAAGGCCTTCTTTTTGGACTTATGCCAGTTCTTATAGAAGTGCCTTTTGCACTCGTCACTGATGTGTTTAGCAAAGATGGTCTTGAAGTTCCGGAGGCCTCGGGGGGTTTCCACATAGCCCACAATGCCTACAACCACCAACGGCGGCATCTCCACAATGGTCACAGCCTCCACAACTTCCTTCTTGTTCACCTTGGATCCTGGTCTATCAACTTCCCGCACGATGTGGGTCATGCCAGCCTTGTATCCCAGCAAGGCTGTGAGGTGGACAGGCTTGGAAGTGTCATCCTTGGGGAAGCTCTTTACCTTCCCACGATGCCTGCTGCTGTGCTTCCGAGGCAGGAAGCCCAGGGATCCATGTCTGGGAGCGGAGAACTTCCTGTGAGACATACTGTCACTGAGTTCTGCCGGTAGACCTATTTGTCACCTTTTAAAGGACATTAGAAAACCCCTGAAAATAGCCAGGTGATGAGGAACCTGGATTCTACCTCACCTGAGATACACTTAATCTGGAAAAGAGAATGCAAAGAGTAAATGATAAATGTCTTCAAATGTTGGCAGAACTTTAGGAGTCAGAAATATAGGAAGAAAACATTCAGTTCAAAGTCAGAAAACTGAGGTCTAAAAAAAACAGTAAATGAACTAGTTAGTCACTTTTACTTTCAGTAGTGGGACAAAAGTGAAAAAAAATACATCTGGGTGTGAGGAAGCCTGCCACCGCCAGAGGGCAGCCACACCTTGTGATGTCCAGCAGGTCAAACAAAGCAATTTTATCTGAGGATTTTGTAACTGAGTCCACAGACATTAGATAAACGCACGATGTGGTCACCAATCACCAGCACACGTGAACATAGGAAGGCAAGTCAAAATCGCAAAAATAGCATTATTTGTCAGCCTGCAGGTTCCTAAGCAGGCAAGTAATTTGATCCATTTACCTGGCCACTCAGAATTAATCAGTTCACTTTTTTTTCCTACATAGAAAATTGGTTTTTTCTTCTTTTTTTAAATAAGAGAATCCTCTCACTCTTTCCAGAACAGTGTGTACTTGATAAAGCAGATTTGCATAGCAGCATCCTTTTTATTTTAAGAGGCTGTTTTGATCTCAGTTGCAGACAATATGTGAGGTTATGAGAGTATTAAATGGTAAAAGTAGAACCTGCAAGTATGATGCAGACTCTAACAGTACATAGATATCTGTGGATTTTAATAGCAGTTCCTCTTTCTGGAGTGTGGAAGATAATAGAGGTTTTCGCTTTCAATCTCCCTATGACGATGCTGCAAGCTAGACCTTGTTACTTTCTTTAACAGATGAGTAAACTAAACCTCAGAGAGAATGATATCTACTGCTTCCAAGTTGTCACAATTCAGGAATAGCAGAACTGAGATTGAACCCAGGTGTGTTTTGTTCTAAAGTTTGTGTTCTTTATTCTCCAAAAACTCTCTCTTCTGCATTCAGAACTCCTTCCAAGAACAGAAGGGGGAAAGCAGGAAGAAGGTATGACAATTCATCCAAGAAAGCACTTGTTAGGTCCTCTTGTCCTCCGGCATTAGCCCCAGAGCAATGAAAACTCCTCCTATAGGGAGACAACAGTGACTCTCTGACCTTTTAATGGAAGGAATGTGCGCCAGGACTGATATTTAAGTGTTGCCCTTGTTCACCTTAATCTGTTTGGAAATTAAACCACAAGTTTTCTCTGCCATTTTGCATATGATTTTTAATAAACATAGTCATCTCCACTGAGAAGAAGAAGATATTTGGAAGTCAGCACTAAAGAATACCCAGCAAAGGAGAAAATAGATTGAATACACCTTTTATTTTCAAGGGAGAGAAGATTGAATAGCAGTTATCGCCTGCCCTAAATGGGCTTGGTAACCTGCACCCTGCCCTACCATTCTAGATAATTCAGGAGAGAAATAGAGGCAGTATGCTCCTCTTCAACAATTTGAGAGGGTGAATTGCACTAGAGTCAGGAGTTGAAGCTGGTGTTTTTTATTCTTCAATTCTGAAAACGAATCTTTAGTAATAACAGTGATCCCGACAGTTGTAGGCACCATCTAGTTGCTAAACATAAAGATCATATGCTCTTTCTAATATTGAATTAATGTTAAATGCATGATGCACTCAATTGAAGACAACAATATTAAGCAGCAGCAACTACAAAAAAATAACCATGTTTTGAGATTCTCCCTTTCCCACCCTGTTGGGGCCCCCTGCTTGATGCTGTTTCGGTACATCAAGCACAACAGCATATGTAGCACTTCACTTGGTATAAATGTTTTGGAAGCTGGCGTTGCTAAGCTATGGCTAATTTCAAATGCAAAAATAGACTTCTCCTGGAAAATATGCTTGCTACAACCTTCATGCCACCTTCAACTATTTCCGTAGTGCCTAAGTGCAATATGTTTGGTTTATGCAAAGCTGAAGTAGGAAAAGGAAAAAGGAACAAATATCCCAAAGCATGTTGCTATTTCTTCTCTTTGTGGCCAATATTTACTCATGAAATATTCTGGACAAGATCATCAGATCAAGGTCATGAGATTTTTTGCGTTGATAATATATTGATTATAGCTTTCTTCTTCACAGAGTCTACATTTCTGAAAAGTAGGACGTTATATATTTTTAATTTGCTAAAAGAAAAAAGTGTAAGACAAATTAAATTGAACAGAGTTTAACTAAACAAAGATGATTTGCAAATTGGGCAGACTTCCAAACCAGAGGAGACTCAGAAAGGCTTTGAGTAGCCATGTGGTAGAAGAAGTTTTATGGACAGAAAAAGAATAGTGATGTCCAGAAAATGGAAATGAGATACGGAAACAGCCCGATTGGTTACAGCTCAGTGTTTGCCTTATTTGAACCCTGTTTGAACTGTTGGCCACAGTTGATTAGCCATGACTAGGTGATTGGCACAAGAGCAATTGGCAACAAGAGGTTGCAGTCTGTTTATGTATCTAGCTAGGTTACAGTTCATCACGTGCATGGGCACAGAAAAACCTGTAGGGCAAACCCAATATATACATTGAGTTTGTTGTTAAACTCAAATGAACAGTTTAAATCCCATATGCATGGCTATATTTGTGTTTCTTTTACTTCTTTAATATGGTATTAACTAGTTTACATGTAACAGACAAATATTGTGTGTCTTTTCTATGTTAGGCACAGTAGTGGCCAGCAGGTCTCAATGAGTCTGAAACCCAAACAGTATTGCAGTTTTATTGTTCACAATTAGAAGTATATGGTATTTTTGGCTCTTCCCTTTGACTCATTATATTAATTTTCTACTGCTGCTGTAAAGAAATTTTAACAAACATACAAATATACTGCAAAGCAACACATATTTGTTATCTTAGAGTCCTACAAATCAGAAATACTAAAATCAAAGTGTCAGTGAGACTGTATTTCCCTCTGGAAGCTCTGCTTTTTCCAGCTTCTAGAAGCTTCCTGCATTTCTTGGCTAACAAGCCCTCCTTCTTCAAAGTCAACAAAAGCATCTTCAAATCTCTCTCCTTTCGGCTCTCCTTCCCACCCCCTTCTTCTCCCTTACCTATCACTTCCCTTTTTCTCTTCATTTTTTTTCTATCCCCGTCCTGTCCTCTCTTCTACACCCCTCTTCACCTCTCCTATGACTGACTCTCCTGTCTTCCTCTTATAAGGACCCTTGTGATTACATTGGGTCTACCCAGAAAATCCAGGATAATCATGCTATCTTAAGATCCTTAATGTAATCACATCTGTTAAGTCTGTTCTGCCATTCGATATACATAGGTTTTGGGGATTAGGATTTGGGCTCCTTTGGGGGAGAGTTATTAATGCATACCACTCTCAAATACTTGACCTTATCTCCTAGCTAAGATTTGTTTTGCACATCCCTGGAATATTACCCTACTCCCCCCAAAAGTATTTTTTAAAGTATGTAAAAAAAAATGACATGAAACCCCTTGGGTCTATATGTAGAATTCAGTAGAATCCTCTGGGCACCAGGGCAAATCTTCTAGGAAGTTAATTTATTTCTGTCTGTTCCAGAAGACTGTTCACTGAGTCAAAATTCTCAGTGCATCACCCAAAGAATTCAGTTTCTTCAGCTAAAGGTAAAGGCTCCCTGAATGCCACTAGATGGTACTCTGGGGAATGTGTCTGTTGTTATTGTTAAACACAGTTAAAATTGTAATTCTGTTATTGCATATATTCTTATTAAAATAGAAAGTCAACTTAATATTTTGGATCGTAATACATTTTCCCCAAAGGAAAATCATTATGTACAGTTCACACAGTCTGAAAGTTATGAGTGTGCCTTGGGCTAACAGACTCACTGTGACTCTATTTTCATACTGAATACTTCATTTAAAGGGTGTTTATTTGCCTATTCTCTTATCATTGGATTTTACATACAAATAAAATGGGGCTTAGGAGCCGGGCTCGGTGGCTCAGCCTGTAATCCCACGCCTTTGGGAGGCTGAGGTGAGTGGATTGCCTGAGCCCGCGGGTTCGAGACCCGCCTGGGCAGCAAGGCCTCATCTCTACAATAAATAAAAAAATCAGCCAGGCGTGGCAGCGCATGCCTGTAATTCCAGCTACTTGGAAGGCTGAGGCGGAAGGATCGCCGGAGCCCAGCAGGCGAGGTTGTGGTGGCCGGGAGCGGCCACTGCACTCCAGTCTGGGCGACAGAGTGAGACTCCAACTCAAAAAAATAAATAAATAAATAAAAAGGGGGGCTTAGGAATTCTAAGGATATTGGGACAAGGCCATATGGATTTGTGTCCACATTGGAGTAAGAGAGCTCTGTTAGTGAGTTCCATGTTTCCTTAGTTGGGGGAGAGGCCAAAGGACCACATTCCGAACTTAGAAGTTTTGAAACTTTGCACTCCTCAGTCACACAAAGTGTACATATTTTTGTATTACTCTCTTTTGGGCCACCTGCTAAGGAGGAAAAGGAAAGTGGTGCCCAGTCTTGAGTGGAAAGGAAGAACAAAAGATGTAAATAAGGAATTCAGATTCAGCACTACTAGACTTCCACAACCGCAGCCCAGTTTCCTCTGAAGATGGAGACACTGTAGCTTGGAACACTGAAGTGGGCTCAAGTTCTCCACTGCAACTTTTTGGATGACTTATGGACTAGTGGGAAGAAGACACATACAAATACTTCAATATAAGCACACACATATACTGAGAGTTAGATAACTTTGAAAGACAATATCTTACCACGAAAAAAGTTCTCATAGAGATAGAGGAATAGAGTGAGGCAGAGGTTTCCCTGGACCTCACAGTCCCTGATACAAACCCATACATTTGGATAATATTGTCTGTGAAAGAAAGGGTGTCAAGAAAGCTTGAGTCTTATCATGTCAGAGTCATTAAACAATCAGTTTTTGTTTGTTTGTTTCTTTGTTTGTTTGTTTTGAGATGAGTCTCAC